TTATTTTTAAATATAATTTTGATGTAATAACTGATTATATAGAGGAATATGCGACAAATATTGAACTGTATACTAGCAACTAGCTCTTTATTCAGCGTATTGCATTTACATCATTCTTTTGCAAACAACTAAAAAATGCCAATTTTTGAGTTATGTTATTGTTATAGGAAATGATCGAGGGGGGGGGTCGGGGGGAGACCGGGGCGGAGTCGTCACCTGGACGGAGTCGTCACTACAATTATCTTGAAATCTATATGTTGTGTGAACTCACCATTAATATTGTAAACGCTACTTATGATGCCCATGTAACCAACGGAGTTTATATGCTAGTGAGATTATATGCCATGTTCTGATTTTTATTAAGGCAAATGTGTTTTCGGAAGTCAAAAGTGAAAATGCGCATCAAAAATTTTTAACATTTTAAATATTATTTTCTCTCCGGTCCGGAATATTTAAAGGATAATTTAAAAAGGGTAAGGATATGTGATGATGTGAGAGCTTTAGTAAAACTGAGATGCGGAAATTTGGAAGAAGCAAACAAATATTGGTTAGAAGAAGATTGTAAAAAATATATTTTGTGCGGCGATGGCAATGACTGTATGGAACATTATGTAGAGGAATGTCAGAGAGCAAGTGTATGGTTTAAGGATTTAGGTAATGACGGGGCGGAGAAGTGGAAAAGGCTGTGGAGTGATAAACTAGATTTAGATAAGGGTAAGATGTTGCGGAAATTATGGAAGAAGAGGGAGAAGGAATTTAAAAAGAGAAAGGAAATAAATTAAGCCAAAGATAAAGATGTGATAGATTAGATTTAAGTAGTACGTTAGCTTAGTTTAAGAGAGCAGTGAGTGTACGCATGGTATGGATGAATGAGTGCTGAGGATAAGATTTAATTGTAAACCAAGTCCCTTCCTGGCTAATTTTGTAAAACTGAAGTAAATAAATTCTATTCTCTATTATTTTCTCTCCGAATTCCGAGATAAGTGATTCTGAAGAGTAATGCATATATGCTGAACATGAATCCAGTGAAGTTTTTGAAGTGAAACTTCTTTAGGCACGGTAGTGAATTCGATTCACGACACGAAAAAGTGTAACGGAAGTGAAACTTCTTTGGTACGGTAGTAAGTTCGATTGTGCGACACAAATAGTGTAACGAAAATTTGACCAATAGGCGTACGGCGTTGGCGAGATGGTTCTTCTTTTGGCACGGTAGTAAGTTCGATTATGCGACACGGAAATTGTAACGAAAATTCGACCAATAGGCGTACGAAATGAAACTTCTTTGGTACGGTAGTAAGTTCGATTGTGCGACACGGAAAGTGTAACGAAAATTCGACCAATAGGCGTACGAAATGAAACTTTTTTGGTACGGTAGTAACCCAGGTAGCAAGCACTCGTCATTTTGACGTCAATATTTGGTCATAATTGGTCAGTAACGTCATTCGTCGATTAAGTGACGTATATTTAACGTCATGTTTTAATACGTCAAAAAGACTTTGTAAAATGACATTATATAGACGTTTAATTGACTACCCAGGTAGCAGACAGTCGTCATAATGACGTGATTCTTACGTCATTTTATGACGCATGTTACGTCATTTATTCCTAAAGTTTAACGTAAAAATGACATTTTTCACAGTATTTTTCACAGGAATATTCCACCATTTATAAAGTGTTTCGTAACTTTATGAACGACGTGGTGAATTTATGGTATAAGTGGATCTAGTTGCGTGTGTAATTATAGTTTTATGACAACTATTTCATGCAGTGTTATAACTATCAAAAAGATATCATTACAAGATTTTTGAACACTTTAAAGATGTACCTGTTATAGACAAGTACAGTTAATAAGGAAGCATCAGGGTGAGAAGATCGTCACTGTCCACTGGATCATCGAAGTCAAGCGACTCAGACGCGGTACTGTGCTAGGATGGGTGACCGCCTTGAGAGCGGCTATACGCACATGGCATGTAACGAAACAGTTAAAAAAGTTTTTTTTTTTTTAAATAAAGAAAAAGAACATTTTTTTGTAAACGTTTATCAAGTAGACATTTTAAAATTTTAATTTCATAAAAAACATTTCTAGAAACCGGTATGTCGTACATTAGACCTATTTTTGCCGTCAATAAAACGTCAGAAAATGACGTCGTTGGGATGTGACTTAGGACCGTGAAAAATACGTCATTTTTACGTTAAACTTTAGGAATAAATGACGTAACATACGTCATAAAATGACGTAAGAATCACGTCATTATGACGACTGTCTGCTACCTGGGAAGTTCAATTGTGCGACACGGAAAATGTAACAAAAATTCGACCAATAGGCGTACGAAATGAAACTTCTTTGGCACGGTAGTAAGTTCGATTGTGCGACACGGAAAGTGTAACGAAAATTCGACCAATAGGCGTACGAAATGAAACTGTTTTGGTACGGTAGTAAGTTCGATTGTGCGACACGGAAAATGTAACGAAAATTCGACCAATAGGCGTACGGCGTTGGCGAGACGGTTCTTCTTCTGGCACGGTAGTAAGTTCGATTATGCGACACGAAAAGTGCAACGAAAATTTTCGACCAATTGGCGTACAAAATGAAACTTCTTTAATTGGTACGGTAGTAAGTTCGATTGTGCGACACGAAAAAATGTCACGAAATAGTATCACGAAAATTCGACCAACAGGCGTACAAAGTGAAACTCCTTTTGGATCGGTAAGTAAATTCGATTTTGCGACTCGAAAACGCGTCACGAAAATTCAATCAGGCATACGGCACTGACAAGACGGATATAGTGAGAACTGCGTATAACACTATATTTTTGAGTTGCGGGCGACTTGGAGTGACTAATACCGTTGCATTGTTTTTGTATTAAGGTGATTGGGCCATGTACCATATGAGTCAATATAAGGCTTAAAATTTATTTTAAGAAAAACCATTTTTATGGATATATTCTAGACACTTGTATAATTACTGATTTTATAATGTAACTTTTCATTCGATTACGTATCAATTTATCTACTGATAAATGTAAACAGTTCAAGATTTGACTTCAATTGACATTCGTACAAGAGAAATGTCGCGACATTGCATCTCTTTGCTGTAGGCAGCTATCATGCCAGTGCCATGTGTTTGAGTGAGGTTATGTATTGTGTTTATGTTGAAAAATAATGGAAGGTAACAAACAATTTCGATAACGGGAGATTTGCTTGCAAAAGAATAGTGCTGTGGAAAGAAAACACTACACGGCGCGGCGTTGCCACATGTCCACGTCGCGTACAGCTGATCGAAAGGCCGACAAGAAACGCGACGATTCATCAACTTTTGATTGAATTTTTGGCCTTATTACACGTCAACGTCGTTTTGTCTTATACTTAACAAGTGCTAGAAGAATCAAATAATGTTATTTTCAGTTTTTTGAACTTGTTTCTTTACAGACAGTGAGTGAACTTCTCAAAAAATGTATGTTTCCGGTACAATTTCCCATAAAACCTATGTTAAAAATGCCAACTTTGAGATTTAATATCTCAAAAACTAGACGTCAGATTTTCTCAAAATTGCAAATTTAAGCGTATTTAGGTTTTTTTTATAACATATATTTAATTCGAATTTTTTTCTTTGACATGCTTTGATGGCCCAATCACCTTAATTTCAGAAAAGTTATGGCAAAGCCTTGCCTTCAGAAGTTTCACTTCTAACGCGCGTGGCGACCACACGCATAATTTTTTTTATTTTTGTTGATTTCTAATATTTCATGAACGATCAAACTTAAAATGTATGTTCGGGGCAAAGTCGTCACCAAGCCACCGGGGCAGACTCGTCACTGTGACAACTTTATCTCGGTGTCCAAGTTAATTTAGGCAATAAGAGCCGAGCGTGGTATTAAATCGTGATGTTATTTTGACATATTCATTAACTCTGTATAATAAATTTTAATGATTGAATACCACGCTCGGCTCTTATTGCCTAATTTAACTTAAATATTTTTATATACTGAGCCTCTACATATTTATTTATCCCGGTGGTTTTACTTTATTTTTCGTTGCAAATGCGATATTGTATTTCTCAATTTCAAGAAAATGGTACGCACGTACCATCGCAAAACGGCTCCCGTCGACAAGAAGCAACTCAGAAAGGCAGTTCTTGTGGTGAAAAAAGATTTGTGCGAGTGTAGGGCACATAAGTGCGTGCGCTTTTCTTATAATTATTTTCCGCTTTCGTGTTTTTAATTAATGTTCCCATTTTTCTATTAAAAAATAATTAATAAAATGTATCCTATTATTTTTCATGATCAAAATTATGAATTTTCATTTAAAATCTATCCGAGAATGAAGTGAAGACTCCGCCCTGGGAGTGTGACGACTCTGCCCCGGGAGTGTGACAAATCTGCCCCGGTAATTTTGACATTTCAATTTTTACATCTTTGTCGTTTTTACTCTATACCAGTTGACAAAGCGACGTAGACGAAAAATGTCTTGATAAATTTTGTAGCCAAGGGTTCACTCTTTACAACAGTATACCATATTTTATTAAAATTATTTGTTTTGTTGTTAAAAATCGGCATCGAAAAAATAGTGACGACTTCGCCCCGGTCTCCCTTACTGTAATATTTAACCCTCAGGGTACAGACTATAAAAAAGTTACGTTCCGTACGGACATGGGTTAGCCTAACCCGGCGACTTTGATTGACTGTATATCGGGCTGTAATTTGTCAATTAAAACAAATTTTTTTTCTTTGGATCGGAAATTTTCTCAAAAATACAATGGCGTTGATAGATTTATTACATTACTTGTTTAAACAAAGATACATTTGAAAATGTAAACCATTCTCAAACAATTTTCATAAAAATTCACTTTTTCTTTTAAATTGCATAACTTTATGAAAAAAAAAGATATCGACATTTTTTAAGTCGCGTTTGTTCTTTGAAATGGCTGAATTCGTTTTTTGATCCATTCCAAAAAGTATTTTTTTTTTTTTAACTATGAAAATACCCGTTTTTTTGCGATAGCGATATAACGTTACTTGCTTGATTTATCGTAATAACGCAAAAAAAAAATATCTTAAAGTAAAAATAGTTCTTTTGGATGTTGTTGATTAGTATAATATAAATAAATAACAAAAATTGAAATAATATTAATAATTGTAAAAATATAATTACATTTGCAATTATACAAGCGTCCATGTCTGATTCTGTAAGATTTTGGGCATTACAGTTGATATCTTCCACCCATATTGTTGGTTCTTCAGTACATGCAGTACGGTTCTTACAACCGCCTATCATAATATGTATCCTGTATATTATGCGATTGTCCGCCTAAAAATATTTTGTAATTAAGATACTAATATATTTTGCGATAAAATATTTAATGCGTAGCATTTTATATTATCATGAGTACTTAAAAATTTGTTTATATATTATGTATTTTATAATTATATCTTGCTTATATATAAATGTAGTCATTAATAATTTCGTACCTCTTTGTAAGTAATGTTACACGTAATCATTTTTGTGTTATTACTCCACTCTAGTGTTGTATTCGTCATAACCCATTCGTCTGGATCACAAGATGTGAAAGTTGTACGACTCTAAGGAAAAACAATTAATTTTGGAGTATACATATACAGCACAGCTTTACATACGTATGTTGATTTTTTTATATTTTTTTTGCCGGATTAGGGAAGACTGTGGGTCTGTTTCTTTTAGCTGCACTGGCTGAACTGGTGCACACTAGTGCAGTAAGTTGGAGTGAAATGTAATATACTTGTCTCACTCCAACTTATTGCACCAGTTCAGCCCAGCTCAGTCAGTGCAGCTAAAAGAAACTTGCCATGCGGCTAGTTGGTATAATGAGTCAAGTTGGTACACGGCAATTATTGTAAAAGTGACAAAAGATAATATTGCATAAAAATATAGTATTTCCGCAAAAACATTGCGATAATATTTCAATTAGTTATTTCAGGCTGAGTAGCGTATTTTCACAAACAGGAAATATTTTTAGTTTTATATAACCAAATATGTAAAATAAATCAGTGATATATTAAATGTTATGGGTATTTATAAATCTGGTTATTATAATTATAACTGTTTCTTTAAAATCTTTACTTTAAACGTAATAATTTCTAGTTATATATGTTAATGTCTTAAGGGGATCCTGCAGTGACTGGCGAACTTCCTCGATGTCGATAATGTCAACTTTTCTAATTTTGTTTTCCCTATATCTGTCTTTGTCTAACGAAATGACATCTGTCCTTTTTTCGATTGCTCGCCATCTTACGCGCCGCAAGATCCGGCAACTACTATTGCTGGCTCTTCTTGTCATCCTGCATCCGTATTTGCATTACTAAAATAATTATTAGATGGATCTTTTTTTGTACGCATTGAATCTTACTTCTATAATACTTACACGATATTATTCCTACATGTTTTCCCAAGGGTGGATGATAAACATTATGTACGTATAAAATGTAGAATTTTTGTTTTAAGCAAATATTGTCGTCAGGTGACAGCTGTGTATGTGCCCCAATAAGTAATATTTTTAATTTTGTGGTGCTTTTGATATAAAATCGCGTTTTCCACTCTAGATTTTTGTGCAGATTTTAATTCTAGACCCAAAACTTGCAATTCTGTAAAGCCAATTAAAAGATCCATCGATTAACGATAATGTCGGTAAATCATACAACTGCAAAATCCCCTTAAAACATTTTTTTGTTTAAGCAATAATCAAAATATCTAAATATGACAGGTCGAGGCTAGTTGTAACGGAGTAAGTTGTTACAGCTTTCTACTTATAATTTCGACCAACTCCGTTGATGTAACACATAACTTCGGCACAATAGCGGCAGATATTTTAATCTTATATAATATTTCACCGTTAAGTCTGTTATTACATATTAAAACCGGTCAATACGGAACATATATTATATCTGTATTGTAATTTTGCACTCAACAATGTAATATAACACATGTTACATGTTGTTATTTCTCTTCATTAAACATATTATACTTTGAAAACTGGATCTTTCACAACACCTAATCCAGTACTGAGTATACTGTAACAACTTATCCCACATATAGGGCTAGTCGTTACAAACGTAGTCGCCTTATAATTTTTATTGGTGTAACAAAATTAATTAGGGTAGGTAGTCCAACAATGAATCAGTAGTACACTATAATGAACCATTGCGATATTTCATAATGTTGCCAGATTGTACTTGTTGTCATGCACCGACTCGCATTTAAACCCCTTTTTGGCTTCCCAATCGGCCGGCAAATCGTGTGAAGGACGGTCGTTTGAAGCACATTTTGTGACTTTTGGGTGACAAATTAAGTTTTTTTCGTAAGTTTTACGTATTTTCATGTTTTTGTTGTTATATTTATCATTTTTTTCATTATTCTATAATTTTGTGTGTATATTTGGCTTTATAATTCTGTATAAGCAACTTTCTTCTATTGCATTATTTTACCGTATTTTTGGAGATTATCGTAAAAAATGTTATATAATCTACAATGAATTTTATAGTTATCTGTGTTATAAGTCTTATTAAACTGCGACTAATTGCTACAATAAATAATAATCTAAGTAAAAAAAAGTCTGATTAAAAATAATAATTTTGATTGTAAGCTTCAAATAATAAAAACACAACATGTATAATTAAGATAGCTTTAATTTAAAGTCATACTATCCTAACCTTATTTATCATGTCTTATAATTATCTCTTCCCTAAACAAACATTTTATCTACTATCTACTATCTAGCGAAACCACTGCCAAGGGAACGGGCTTGGAAAAATTAGCGGGGAAAGAAGACCCTGTTGACTCTAGTCTGGCACTGTAAGAAGACATGAGAGGTGTAGCATAAGTGCTGAGAGATGGCAACATCGCCGGTGAAATACCACTACTTTCATCGTTTTTTTACTTACTCGGTTAGGCGGAGCGCGAGGGCTTCGTGCCCCGGCGGTCACGGTGTTCTAGAGCCAAGCGTGTTATTGCAGTAAGGAAATCAACGGTATGGATTTGCTACAGCTTAGGGCCGTGCCGCCGTGCCTTAAGTTCTTGACTGCAATTAGCTGATTTGCTTACTCTTAGTTTTACTGCTTAAGTTTTTCTATGTGCCACGGCCTTCAGGGGGCCTATTACGTATCTTTTTCACGAGGCGAAAATGCGAAAATAAGTGAACAGATTTACTAGATTTCGATCAATGAAATCGTAGATACTCTAGTAAATTCTCTCATTTTTCACATTTTCATCTCGTAAAAAGATACGTAATAGGCCCCCAGAGTGCATGGCGTAAGGCCTCGGCCGATCGCCGTTAATACTCCCGCATGATCCGATTCGAGAACACTGCCAGGCGGGGAGTTTGACTGGGGCGGTATTTTAAAACATAGTAAAACTAAAATAACACTAACAATTCACAGTAACCAATAACATATTGTTTTAAAAAAATTGAAATTGTGACTAAACTTTAAAAATAACTTATGAGTCATCTTATATAGTATGTAGCCAACTAAATTTATGAACTGTATGCAAAAAGATAGATCTCCAACTCAATAATTGAGAAAGATATAAGCCTCTGAAATTTACATATATGGTTTATTGTTGGACTACCTACCCTATACTGTTTAGTTAAAAATATTATTTTTGTGTTGTATAAACGTGCAGTTATTGAAAAAATATTTTCCGGCTTGTATTCCATTTATTATAGTTACATGTAAAAAAATTATTTAAAAAAGTGTACAAACTAGTCCTGGTCTTTTCTACGACATGCCCGGTGCAGTCGTGCAACTTCAGTAACAGTATAGCATGTTAATACGACAATTACAAATTTTTATTTCTTCAGTAAAAAGAAGCTGATGCTAAAAATAATATATAAGATCGAAAAAGTTTTATTCCCAAATAGCCAAGTCTGCTAAGAGCAAACTTTGCAAATTGTGTGCTACATGCTATACTGGCATAATTTTGGCAGTAGCAAAGCATACCTAATCTGCCATATGTCAGATAACGTGTGTAGAAATAAAACAGAAATCTAACAGAATGAACATCATGATATGATAACAGAAATGCTGTAAAAATCTAAAAATCAAGCAAAATATATGTCAGCATAGGAAGAGTAAAATTTTTAAGTATTGTATGTTAATATAATATGTCGACAAAAAGCAGACTAAAATAAAATGGAGGGTCCGTCCGGAACTCGAGTCGTTATCAGACCTATTATGTATATTACTTTTAATCTCTTGGACGAGATGCTGTCGGTGCCGATCCGACCGGCGCGCGGCCTGAGTTGCCCAGAAGGTGGAATATCAAGCGTGCAGACAAAGACATTTTTAGGGCATCCTTAGAGTGGAGCTGTGGGACCGGCCCCCCGGAAGAGACGTTGGCCACGGGAGAGGGCGCTTGTGAATGGTACACCCTGACCATGGAAAAAGCCTGTGCGACCGCTATCCCGCGCATGGGATCCAGAACTCCTAAGAAACAGGTCTTTTGGTGGAACGACACCATATCGGACCTAAGGAGGGCCTGCATACAACCCAGGAGACGGTGGACGGGATGCAGACGCCGAGGTTCCCCGGAGGCTCAAACTGAGCGAAGGGACGAGTATAGGGAAGCCCGGAGGGTCCTAAGAAATGCGATTAGTGATGCCAAAACTAGGTCGTGGCAGGAACTGTTGGACGGCCGCAACAAAGACCCTTAGGGTCTTCTGTACAGGATAGTTCTCAACCGCCTAAGACGATCCGTCCCGGGTTTAACCGAAACCTTGGAGGAGGACACGCTTGAAACCCTTTTGGAGTCGCTCTTTCCTGCCGCGGATGAGCTCCCCGTGGACAACTGGCCCGAGGTTATCTGGGATGAGAGGCTTGCGCAATGTTTCACCGCATGTCTTAGGGACGAAGTCTTTCCAGCAAGATGGAAAGTGGCTAACCTGGTACTGATCCCCAAGGAATACACCCAGGTCGGGACCTTGCCTAAGGCCCGTCCGATCTGTCTGCTCGATGAGGTCGGAAAGACCTTCGAGCGCATAATAGTAAACAGACTGGAAAAATGGATGAGCGAACACCCGACTGCTGACTTGGGGGACCGACAATTCGGGTTCAGAAGACGCAAATCAACAACCGACGCTCTGCTGTTCGTGAAGGATTTCGTTCAGGGGGCTGTCCATGAAAGAAGGAAAGTCATGGCGGTGGGCGTGGACATTAGAAATGCCTTTAACTCCATTCCACCGAGAGCGATCAGGATGGCGCTAAGACGCAAGGACTTTCCTCCATACCTGAGACGCCTGATCCTCAACTACTTGACGAATAGGTGGATAGAGTATGTGGATAAGAAGCGAGTCAAGAGACGACAAAGAGTGATGGCCGGTGTTCCACAGGGATCGGTTTTGGGCCCGTTGCTGTGGAACTTAGTGTACGACAAAATAGTAAGGATGCTTGTCTTCGCGGGCTGCACCATAGTGTGCTATGCGGATGACACACTGGTTTTAATATCAACAAGGGACAGTGTGGAAGTGCTTACGGGAAAGACTGTTAAGCTTCTGCGGAAAGTCATCGATATGATCGAGAGCCTGGGCCTCAAGATTGCGGCGGAAAAAACCGAAGCCATGATCTTCGGCAAACGCTTCACTCCCGAAAATGCCCCTACCATCCGGGTTGGAAATTGTGATATTATTATCGCAAATAAGTTGAAGTATCTGAGTGTCATTCTTGATCCTTTTTGGTCTTTTAATGATCATTTCAAGTACGCCACAAACAAGGCTATTCGAGTGATGAACGCCCTGGGTCGCCTTATATGCCCAACCTCCGAGGCCCAGGGGAGCGTAAAAGGCTCTTGTATTACCATACAATCCTGGCGGTCTTATTATATGCTGCTCCGGTTTGGAGTAGCGAACTGGCTGCTTCCAGAAGGAAACAGTTCGCAGGATCCAACGCATGATAGCGCTGCGAGTTATCAGAGCCTACCGGACAGGGTCGTTCGATGCGGCGACACTACTCTCAAGGATTCCCTCGGTTTTCCTGCTGGCCGAGGCGAGAAAGCGTACCTTCACGAGGATTCGCGAGTCGATGGCCAGGGGCAACTGGTGCCTTGATGTGGATGCGGCTATCAGGGAGGACGAGGCTAACCTGCTTCGGTGCCAATGGTCGACACATCTCGAAGGAAGCATCTACGGTGTGGAAACGATCCAGGCCATTCTTTCGGTGCTGGACCTCTGGCTGGACCGATCGCACGGGACCCTAACGTATAGGGTTACTCAGATCTTGACGGGCCGCGGAAGATTCGGCAAGTACCTACACCGCATCGGTAAGGCTGAGGCTCCGACCTGCCCATACTGTGAAGCCGAGGTCGACTCGTTGACGCACACGCTCTCGGAATGTCCGGAATGGGCCGAGCCTAGACTGGAGCTTGGCCTTTACACAAATGAGGATGTCTCCCTTCCTGGAGTGGTTCGGGCGATCGTCCGGTCCGATAAGGCGTGGACCAAGTTTCTTCGCTTCGCGGAGGAAATCCAGTCCAGAAAGGAGAGGGATGAGAGAGAAAGGCAACAGAGGGCCTTGGAAGAGTCCTCCCAGCGTGTATGGAGGGACCCCGATTCCGAAGAGTAGTAGGGTTTGCTCTGTTTTTATTGGGATTTTTAGTCGTGACGTAGCCGTGACATCACAAGGCCAAGATGGCGGTTCTATTCCTGAAAATTGTACGCAAACATGCGGTCTGAGGCGGTTTATCGTGCCTTTTAAACGCGTGTGATAAAAATATGTACTTAAATATAAAGGAAATATGTGCATTTGCACATTGCACCCCTTCCTCAAGGAATTTTATGGAAGGAAAAAATTTGTTGGGCTGTAGACATTTATTAACATGCGGGATAACCTCTCAAGATAACAAAGCACATGTATGATAAAAATTGAATTTTTTACAAATATATTGGTATTTCCAAATATCAGAGTAAGCGAGCAAAATAATCAGATGAACACTCATTGTTAGCATATATATTTACAAACATCGAATCAATTATTTTTATTGGTGCAAATCTTATAATTATGTAGAACTTCTTTATGTAAATTTTTATTTTATAATCATGTGGAACTTCTTTATGTAAATTTTCTATTATTTTTTGTCTATTTTTACTCGACATATTTTATTATTGCTAAATTTACACTGATGTTTTGTTAATATTTCGTTAATACAATAAATTTACACATTTTTGTTTTAGTGATTATACCCAATCAATTTTTATCTGCAAGTATATTTTTTTACATGATGCAATTTATTTTACTTGTTTGATTTTTTTACATATGTAATTATTATATGTAGGTGTGGGAGGCATAGTCCAGTCTCTATGACCCAGATTCCTGTAAACTCTTCTCCCGAGATAAACATCATTGTCCCGAGATAAACATCATTGGGTGCGTTCAGCCGATACTCCGCTAGCCTAGCGCATGTAAGCAGCGAGCGCTTTGCTACCAACGGAGTATCGGCTGAACGCACCCACTGTCCAAAATTTACCTTCGAAAGAAATGCGTGCACTTTCCAATGAGAAGCTTTTAGTAGACGATTTAGCCACATGTTGCAAAAAGAAACTGAAAAGCTTAGAAAAAGACGTATTACGTATCTGCGAATCAAGCCAAGCATCTATTTCTGTTTGGAAACAAGAACGACAGTTTAGAGTAACGGGCTTCAGATGTTACGCTCTGTACACATACTTCACCAATAAGAAAGCCAATCCTAATTGGAAAGACAAATCCCTAAAGTATTTTTACTCCAAAAATATTGCGAACACTTATGTAATGCATGGTCTTGCAAATGAACCTCTTGCAAGAAAAAGATATGTAGAAATCTCACAATGGCAGGTAGTAGAATGTGGTCTTGTAATCTCGGACATTAATCCCAGGTTAGGCTACTCACCGGATGGTGTTGTTTTTCAAGACAACAAACCGGTGAGACTATTAAAGATCAAGTGTCCCTATTCCGGTAAGACCAGTAAAATAAATGATGTTCTCAATGACTTGAAATATTTAAAACGAGATAAATCTTCGAAGTCTTTTAGTGTAAAGCTCCCTGAATCGTCCCGAGACGATTCTTTAAACGCACTTGAGAATCCTCAATACACTGCGAGAATCAAGAATTTTATATTAAAAGAAAAGCACGAATACTATGGACAGATACAATTTGGTATGGCAGTCTTAAATTAAAAAAAAACGGATTTTGTTATCTATTCTCCATTTGATCATGAAATAGTTGTGATTCCAGTAGACTATGATGAAGTATATGTTAAGGATCTGTTGAAAAATGTGAAACTCGCTTATTTTGAGCACATGCTCCATAATGTATGTTTGGATGATGGTTGATTAATTAAATAATTAAAAAAATAAACAATTTTTTTGGTGTTATTTATTATCCCTAGTGGTCATATAAACGAGTAGGTTTTATTAACCTTAAATAATCTAAATAATAGAAACATGAAAGAAAGCTTTTTAAGAACACTGAATATATTTTACAGTTTTAACAAATAAATTTATGTGGTAAATTGACAATCTTTTAAAATAGGAGAGCTCAAATTTACAACAACTAATATAATTCTAAATATCTCATTCACTCGAGAAACTAATCCACTAGGCATTGTATCGCTCAATATGCGAAACATTTTTAAACCCTGATTCGCTCTTTCGACGTGTACACGAGCTTTTGCAATTTTTGCATTCAAAAGTGCTTCTTGTCTACTAAATTGTTTTTTGTTCCTTAGAAGAGGAGGTCTAATCAATGTTACTTGATTCTCTAAACAAATATGGTCAATTAAAAATCGCATGTCTACCATGATTGCTTCGCCTTTTTCAACAAGATTAATTAAACCGCTTTGCTCGAAAATTGATTTGTCAGAATTTTTCCCCCCATATGCTCTGCTTAAAAAACTTATAGTCCCAGCTGGTGTTACGCCAGTCATAATTTTTACAGTGTACGTTCCTTTGTAATTCGAGTACGCTATTTTACGACAACAGACATTTTTTGGCCTTTGTATCGGGACTTCTGTGCAATCTATCACTACTCGCGTGTTTTTAAAATCCTCAAAGCATGTGGGCATGTTTTTATGAATCTCCTTTTTACTTGGGAATACTACGGCATACTGCAAAACTTCATCCAGAAGTGTCAACATTTCAAGAAAAACATGTCTTATTTGAGTCAATTTAATGCCCGTGAATAACACGGCTAGAGCAGAATACGATAAATTAAGTTTTAGCTTCATGAATGTCAAAATTACTTTTGATTTGTAATCATAAGATGACTTTTTAATTGGATACTGGACACAGTATTTAAAATATCTACAATAGCATTCAAGATACCGAAGTTCTCAATACCAGTCATTATACTTAAATCTTTATCGTTTTTAATCAAGTGACAAACGTTTATACTTCCGATTTGTACATCTTTATTGACAAACGTTGGTTCACATCCGCTTACACCACTATCCGTTTGAGTTCCTGCATCGACAAATGGGCTCGATAAATTAGGCTCGCCTTCCTCATTACATTGTATGTCTTCCAGGTCCTCAGATTGCTGTGCTTGATGATCCATTACAAGTTTGTATAAATCCTGGACATGGTCCTTGCTTTCTTTCAGCTTCTCACGATTTATTCTTCTCGTTTCTCTGTTCTTCTCATTTTTCTTCTTTTTTTCTTCTACAACTTTTTCTTCCTCACTTTGTTGCCTTTGTGGCAAATTGTATTTAGGGATAGCAGTCTTCTGCAAAACCCTCCGTTTTGCAGGCACATCTAAAATATTAATAAAATTTTATTTGTTATTATTAATCTTTAATTGAGATAACAGGAGTGTTAATTGAAATACTTTTGCGTTTAAAAAATCGGTGAATTGTTTTTACATACTACATTTAACATACAATTTATTATAACTAATATTATTCATTAATATTCAGTGAATATATTTTACTTGTTATTGTTCAGTTATTATCATATTGACTTACCAGGCAGAACGTAATCACTCCTGTCAAAGTGCAAAGAACACACTGCCCACTTTTTGGTTATCAACTCTGGTTTTGCTATTTTCAAAACTCTTTCCCATTCTTTTCGAACATCCATCTTCTCTATATTTCCAAACATGTCTTTTTTCTTAGTATAGAACTTTCCTTTAGGTGGAAACATGTGGAATCGCACAGAGGTATCTTTTTAATCCATAGCTTTTGCAGCCAAATACACAGCAAGAATCGCAATTTTTTGTGTCTCTAGGGGAAAATCTTGCCCCTCTGTCTTCTAGGTGTTCACCCGTCGCATTTTTTTTTATCACACACATCGTTATTTTACTAATTATTTATGAAAAACGTAAGCTTTATATGTGTTTACATATATATGACAGCTCTATAAAGCCCCTTGCACAATGCCAGGCAACAGGCAATAGGAACAGGA